TCCTTCGGGAGTACATACAGCACGAGCTCTGCGACGGAGTGAGAATTTCTTTTTTCTTTTTTTATTTTTTTATTTTTTTTATTTTTTTATTTTTTTATTTTTTCCTTTTTTCTTTTTTTTTCTTTTTTCTTTTTGTTCTTTTTCTTTTTATTTCTTCTTTTCTTTTCCAATTTCTTTTGTTCTTTTTTGTCTCTCTTTTTTGTTCCTTTTTGTTTTCCTTTTTGATCTTTTTTTGATTTTTTTTCATCTTTTTTGGTCTTTTTGATCTTTTTTCCTTTTTTGTCTTTTCTTTTTCTGAATGATTTTATTTTCTTTTCATTTCTTTTCTATTTTTCTTTTCTTTTTATATTTTTTTGTTTTTCTTTTATTTCTTTCTTGTTTTTCTTTTTTCCTTTTTTCCTTTTTATTTCTTTTTTATCTTTTAAAATTTTTAGAATATTTTTTCTTTTTACCCCTTTTTGTCCCCTATTGACATTTCTTTTGTCTCATCTTTTTATCTTTTTACATTTTTAATTCCCTTTTAATCCATTTCCATTTCAATTTCTTTTTATCTTTATCTTTTTATTTCTTTTTATTTCTTTTTATTTCTTTTAATTCCTTTTATTTCATTTTAATCTCCTTTCACTTCTTTTTTATTTAACCATTTCACCCCGACGCCGTTTCCACTCCCGCTGCTGCTGCTGCTGCTGCTGCTGCTGCTGCTGCTGCTGCTGCTGCTGCTGCTGCTGCTGCTGCAGGGGCGCTACGAGTTGGAGCGAGTGATAGATGACTTTATATTTCTTTGCTTTCTTTGCGGAAATGATTTTCTGCCGCATTTGCCTCACCAGTCGATACAGCGCGGCAGCATCGACGCGCTGCTTGAGGTGTACGTACACCTCAGACCCCACACTCTCAGCAGCTACCTGACGCATGCGGGCAAAGTCGACCTGCAGCAGCTGCAGCACTTCCTCGCAGCTTTTTCCAAAGTCGAGGAGGAACTCATCAAACGCGAACTCCTCCGCAAGGTCCAAACCCTAAACCCTAAACCCTAAACCCTAAGCCCAGGCCCTAGCCGCCCGCCGCTGGCGCTGCCGGGGCGGGCGGCGGCGATTCGCTGCAGCAGCAGCAGCAGCTGCTGCTGCTGCTGCTGCTGCAGCAATTCAGTCTGCTATTTGAGCGCCTGAGGCTGTCTCTTTTCTCCTGTTGTTTGTTCCCCTTTTGCTGCTTCTTGTTTACTCTTTGCTTCCTGCCTCCTGCTGCTGCTCCTTGCCTCCTTTTGCTGCTGCTCTCCCCCTTTTGGCTGCTGCCAGCAGCTGCTGCAGCGTGTGGGGTTTTGCTGCTGCTGCTGCTGCTGCAGGACCGCATGCGGGAGAAATACCACCAGGACCAGCAGCGGCTGCAGGGGCCTGCGGGGGCCCTCCAGCAGCGGGACATGCAGCAGCAGCCTCACTGGCAGCAGCAGCAGCAGCAGCAGCAGCAGCAGCAGCAGCAGCGAAGTCAGGGACTGCCTTCAAACGAAGAAGTTGCCCGCCAGCTGAAGCAAACGCTTCTCAACAAAGGGGGCCCTAGGGCCTCTGGCGGGGGCCCTTCTGCTGCAGCAGCAGAAGGTGCAGATGCAGCAGCAGCAGCAGCAGCAGCAGCAGCAGATGGTGCCGACGACGCAGATGGCGCCGACACTGCAGCAGAAAATGGGGAGGGCTGCGAAGCCTCCCCCTCAGCAGCAGCAGCAGCAGCAGCAGCAGCAGCAGCAAGTGAGGACGCGGCGCGCAGCGGCTCTCGGCGTGCGGCGAAGCGGGCGAAGGGCGACGAGGACGCAGCAGCAGCAGCAGCAGCAGCAGCAGCAGCAGCAGCAGCAGGGTCGAGGAGCCGGCAAGAAGACCTGGATTTGTTTCGAGCCCGCATGCAGCAGCTGCTGAGCAGCTCCAGAGAGTTGGGGCTGCATGCGCTGCTGCAGGAAGGAGCAGCAAGCGGGCTGGGGTGCCGCAGCAGAGAGCAGTGGCGGCTGCTGTACTACCAGGAGAAGTTCCGGCTGGAAGCAGCAGACTCCGTTGCTGCTGCTGCTGCTGCTGCAGCAGACCACTACCTCAAGGGCCTCCAGTGGGTGCTGCTGTACTACTGCCAGGGCTGCAGCAGCTTCGACTGGTTCTTTCCCTTCCACTTCGCGCCCCTCGCCCTGGACCTCTGGCACGCAGCAAAGAGGCGCGTCGCCAAGCTGCAGCAGCAGCAGCAGCAGAAGCAGCAGCAGCAGCAGCAGCAGCAGCAGCAGCAGGGGAAGCAGGAAGGGCGCGGCAAGGCGGAGGACCCGGACACGCAGGCGGAGTGTTACATGGAAGGAGCGCAGGTACGGTCCGTGCACAGTAGCAGCACCAGCAGCAGCAACAGCAGCAGCAACAGCAGCAGCAGCAGCAGCAGCAACAGCAGCAGCAGCAGCAGCAACAACAACAACAACTAACAGCCAGCAACACTACCCGCCCACCTCCCCACCCTCCCAACCCCCCCACCAGCAGCAGCAGCACCAGCA